CAGAGAGAAAGTTGTAACGTGTTAAGGAGAGTTCAGGAAAGCAGCTGTAAAGGTGAAAGGAAAACAATGAGCATGGGAATTCTGTAATGAACTACTGCTAAATACTAAATAAAAACAACTTCTCTGTTACTCAGTCACTAACTTTTTTGTATCTAACCTATTCACACGGATACATCAGCAAATTCATCCCTGTTCTCCGTACCTTTTTCCACGTTTCAACCACGCTGGCGGCGTAGGCCAGGATGTGGATGTATTTGTGTTTATGGTCTTGGTTGATCTTGGATCCAGGCTTAAACAGTGACTGCATGAACAGGTCCAGAAAGGCAGGCACTCTGATCTAAAGACGAAACAAAGATAAAATATTCCACTCAACGGCTCCAGAACGAACAAGCATGTAGTGGATATAAACAGGGTCAAAGACGCTCGGTCCTCACCAGCTCCACGGGAGGCGGGTCCATGCTGCTGAACATCTTGAAGAGAACTGTGATGTCTGCAGGATTCAGGGCTCCTTTGGACAACATGGCACCCAGCGCCTGGCAGGCTCGAGGGTAGGCTGCTGCTGTACCAAGCGCAAGGGTTATCTGACTGGCATCGTGACCTCTGTGACATAAACCACAACCACAGAGTTAATATCATCAGTGAAACCTACACACACACACACACTCCAACCAGTGCACTTCCGTTAATGTTTTCTGAAACAATAGCAAACAGGGCGTGTAAAGGTTAAATTCTGCGGAAAAAGAGACAAAGTTACCTCTCGTGTGCGGACTTCTGCACCTCCTGGCCGATCCTACGCACAGCTGAACCGCCCTGCTCCTCCTGGGAGAGGATGGACATCATCGCCTGGGCAAAGAGGTAGGTGTGCTCGCCGTGACACACCATCTTCTACGGGAGGAAGGAGGGAACAACTCAGGAAACTTCATCACATGCAGCAACCAGAGGAACAGAAGCTCTGAGTAACTTTTACATACTATGCTGTAAAATAATAAATAATGTAAATAATATAATGACTTTAGTCTATAAAATGTCACAAGAGGAGAGAAAATCAGTTTCCCAGAACCCAAGACAACGTCTTCAAATTGGTTGTTTAATCTGACCAACAGTACACAATTGCAAATATATTCAATTTACAATCATATAAAACAATGAAAGCAACAAATCCTCACATTACAGAACTCACAATCAGTGACTGTCAGATTGTTCAAAGGTTTAATAAAACAGAGAAACGCTTACAGCAAATTCTGGCAGGTTCTTCTCCAAGTTCTCTTCTCCTCCGTCCAGCAGCGTGGCCAAAGACGTCCTCAACACCCGAGAGAAAACCTCCAGCTGCTGACACGCTGTAGACACACTGGTGATCTCACCCTGATAACCTGCGTCTGAAATCAGCTAAACACACACACACACACACACACATACACACACACACAAAATAATGTGTGACAACAGCATAGAAAATCTGTTCAACTTTACAGAACTTATAAGAAGCATTGGCAGTTCTACATATCGATTGTTTATAGCACTGAACTAGCAATTATTTTAATTATTGATTATTATACAAATATGTCATTGAATTGCATTTTTTCTGTCCGAAAGATATTAAATTGACAGTGATATAAAACTTAAAAAGCAAGCAAAATACAAGTAGATTGAATTGAAATGACCATAATGAATGACAATGATGGAATATTAACATTAACTTGCAAATTAATGGATTGATTAAATGATTGCCTCAGCAAAAACACATTTTCCATTTATTGGATGAGGGAGGAAAATAATTGTTGTTGTTATTGTTTCTGTGTTGACTCCAGGAGGATTAGTGAACACTTTGTGGAAGCTAATGGGGTCAAATTGAAGAATAAAGAATCTTGGTGACTTAAAATACTTCATATGGGCCAAGAACTGCACTACTACAACTACAACTACTACTATTACTACTCCTACTACTACTACTATTACTCCTACTACTCCTGCTAGTGCTGCTGCTGTACCTTTACAGTGAAGTTGAGCATCAGGCAGTCTGGGTGAGCCTCTGCCAGCTTATAGAAAAGATCTCTCCAGGTGGTGTGTGCTATCATCTGCTCAAGCCAGGCTGGAGTCTAAAAACACAGGAGACAGTGAGTGTACACCTGAAAAATAAACCTTTTGCACACTTGTATTTGCCATTTGTACAAAAAAAAAAAAAAAAAATACAGCTGAGTGTTCAGAAATCTCACCTCTCCCTCAACAGTGAAAATGGAATCGGCTTTCTGAGGGTCAAAGTGCTTTATCAGGAGACTCTTGAGGTGATTTTCTACTCGCTCTTGGACCTGAGCTGGCTCTACACCTGCAGTGCAAATAAAGAAGTTACAGATTAATGAAAGTTCATCAGGTCAGAGGAGGGTTGGCCCAGAACAGGTAGAAGAACATCACAGGATCTCCGCTACCTACCCATCTGGATGAGCCATTCTGCCAGCAGATTAACGGTCTGAGCCACGGCCGAGTAGTTCTCAGACAGGAGCTGGATGACGTGTTCTGGAGAACCACCTGCTTGGAAATACCTGCGGCAAAAACATAGTTTCTATCGTCAAACTCTCAGTGGGTCTTTATGAGTCACACGTCCAAACAGTGGTCGTCCTGTGCAGTTTTCCGATGTCCACTTAATGTTACGTCTGTATGAGAAATCAGCTGCTTACGTTTTGAGGGTGTTGAAGATTGCCGGCTCCATGATGTAATCCCTGCTGGAGAATTTCTGCAGACAGTCTTCCTGGATCTTCCCATCATTTTCCCCTTCCACATAATCCTCCTGAAACACACATCGATTCATAATGCTTCTGTGGAGACTCTTCTGTCCTGACAACATGAACTCTCTTCCATCTCCTTTGCACACAGTAACATTAAAGACAAGTGCAGGTGTTTCATGCTCCGGTTTGTATGACTGATTCAAAGCACAGTAACATTTAGATTCAAACTCATAATTCACTTTGTTAGTGACCTTCCTCCTGTCTTATCCAGTTGAATACATGTCTGTGTGACTACTAGTGTCCTTATAAATTAAAGTTTGAGGAAACCAGTGTGTTATGAACGCAGCATGGAGTCATTTGGCTTCAAATGTTTACCTGAGCAACCCACTACCACTTGTACAGAAGAGTAAGAAGTGCATGAAGACAGTTTAAAACCAGCTGATACACAACTTTAAAGTGTCCACCAGCTGCACCGATACTTAGCTTGTAGCTGGCTAACAGACCCGCGAACCCGCTGCGAGTTCAAACCCAGCTGTGTGCACACATCTGTCTGCGCACATCTGTCTGCACACATCTGTCTGCGCACACAGAGCTCTGTTAACGATCGTGTTCACTGTGTACGTCGTGTAGCTGCAGCTAAGCTAACGCCGCCTAGCAACAAACAGCAACAAGTCGTGCTCTCTCACCAAGTTCCCGTCCGGACCTTCCCAGTCTCCGCCGCCGCTGTAATACTCCTCGTCCATGGTGACGGGACAGAGACTACGTTGAGCGAGCTGCAACAACAACACAGCCGTGAGGAGACTTCTTGTCTCAACACAGGGCGAAGACACTGGAGGCAGAGAGCAAGCTAACAACAACAGGGGGAAAATGGCGAGACGGCCCCTCCTCTCCCTCTCTCCTCCCTCTCTCCTCCCCTCCCCTCCCTCTCATCTTGAGGGGGGTTTCTACCCTGAGTGTCGACTGTCAGGCACAGCTGTGTAACTTCTACAGGAACAAAACACAACCAGAGCAACATTAACCTTATTCTTAAACCTTATTAATGACAGATATGCACAGGTAAGAATAATAATGATACATTCATTTATAATAAAATGTGTATAGAGAATCAAACCTGGTGGTTAAGAAGACTTTAGAAACAGTAAATATTGTTGGGATTCACATTACCCATGTCCACTTATATTATTATTATTATACCATAATATAGGTTTGGCTTTCCCTCCTTGATATATACTCTCTGATCAAAATAATAGACACACCTGTCAGTTAATAGATGTATATTTAAATATCACCACAACCTACAGCCTCCAAAGTTATCATACAGTTGGATCAACACTTCTCTTAAACAGTTTCAACAAAGAATTAACATCATGAAGGCAGAATACTCGCAGGACTGTTGTAGTTCATTAGTTTGAGCTAAATATGTCTGATACACTGGCAACTGATTCAACAACCTTGCAAAGACCCATGACACCCCCTTTTTCCGGTTTATCTTGAGCTGGCTTATCAAATAAATACATAAAAATCCACCAAAAATAATAATTATTAAAAAATAATTGACTAACTTGTCCGATAACCTTGTTTGCAAATGCCATAGAAATGCAGCTGAATTCAGCAGAGTTTATCTCCACTTCCTGTTGGTCCGATCTGTACAAAAGAAAACTAATCTAACACACCGTTGGGGGTAGAAACACCCTGACATCCTGGCTCTGGCTCAATATACATCTAATGCAGATATACTATCCTCAGCATGGATGAGTAATTATAATAATGAGTCATTCATAAGTTAGTATATTAGTATAACATTAAATAGGTATAATGTTAATATAATAGTATATTAGTGTATATGTTTACATATATTATATATACTATGTTGGAATATTCATATTATAGTATACTATAAACTACTATTATATTATTAATTATATTATAGGTTAATATTACGTTTTGTGGCACCTTGGAAGTCACAGTTTGCAACCGTGGCTGGTTCCAGGCAGCGACAGGAAGTTGAAACCAACTCGGTCACACAGGAACAAGCTATCAGTCTAAAAATAAACCTGTCACTGAAAAGTCACACAAGTAGAAAAAGTCTGAAGGTTGTCACTGAAAAGCATATCAGAATATAAACAAAACAAACTATTTCAGTGCCAATAAAAAAGTGATTCAATGCCAATGTTTCCTTTATCAGTTTAGATGCTGTTTTTAAATGCCAGATTTTATTTTCAATGCCAAATTAAAAGTCAGTGTTAAGGCTTCACATAAGAGGATTGACGAGTCCAGGCATATGGGAACAAACATTTTTTATTTTATAATGCAAACTGCAACATATGAATTATATTATTTACCCAAAGGAGCAGAAAAGGTCATATTACCCGTGGCAAATAAATCACACAGCCTGTGTTAAATCTAAGTCCAACACAATATTTTCATCCTAAACCATAAAGGGAAAATCCACCCTCAAACAAAATGTACATTCCTTTGATGTCGGACAGTTCGTTCTTAGTTTGTGAACATGATCAAGTCTCACCCAACGCCAGTAACAACAGATTAAGGACTTGTTTTCTTCCTCCGCAGACAGCGCAAAAGGGAACCAGACTTTATTTAAAAGTCAGTGATGTGGGGACATATTCAGGTGCAAACCTTTGCACATTTTAGATCAACAAGCTCAGACGTAGAGTCAGCGCTCTCTGGTTTCTGATTCAAATGACTTCTGTTCACAAATCTTAACTGAACTGTGTAATATCATAGGATTCATAAAGTGAACTCTTCTGGGTTTTTGCTTCAAGAAGGCTTTCTATGAAAGAATTTCTAAGCACAAATATAGCTCAGGCGAAAACTGAACCTCAATTAATCAGTTCAGCTATTGCTTAGATAAATAATATTTACTCTACAAGAGAAAGATAAATTTCACATTGTTCAGATGCATGTAAAAAAAAAAAAAAGCAGTTCTAAAATGTGATGTCAAATTGACTTTTTTTGGTTGAAAAATCCCTGCGCTGTTGATTCTTGAAACATTTTGCCATTTTGTACACCTGCATCAAGTCTTGGAAAGTTTAGGAAAAGATTAGTTGATTGGCTGAAAAACCAGCCACATGACGAAAAACAGTGACAGAAGTCTTTTGTAACTCTGGAAAAATCAGTGAATAGCACCATGTTCACTAAGGGCAAGCCAGAAGATAAAGGGGAGAGGCCACAGGGCACACAGAGTTCAGGTGTGCACTTAAGTGCTGGGCTTGCAACAAAACTGCTGATCCTTCAAAGTCACTTTTTGGTCTTCATTCTCCTCTGTCGTAGTCTGGCTGTGTGCAGCTTATGCAAATATACTCCTCCTTCTCTGCTCGCTCAGCAGACAGTCCTACACAGATCTGGTGGAACCACTGATTGCAGCTGCCATCACATTGGACCCAGTTTACCTGAGAAGCAGCAAAATAAGAAAGAAAACAAAGTGATTTAAATGTGTGGTTGTATTTATCTTATAGCATTATTTCTTAGTACACTGTAATTTAAAAAACAAAGTACATCAACCAGTTAAAACTCAGATTGGGCGATATAAACCCTGAATATAGTCGACTGATGGAAGACTAACCTCGTCGCCCTCTGGCTCTCTGCACCATGGTGCAGCACACAGTGAGTAGTCCTCCTCTGAATCTGAAGGAGCAGGGTCGGACACCGTGTGTGTGGGAGAACAAGTCCTCTTGGTTTCTTCACTCCTCTCTTTGCTTTTCTTAGACTTCTTTTTGCGGCACTTCTTGGCCTTCTCACTGTGCTGAGAGTCGGAGCTTTCCTTGCGCCGCTTGGTCCTTTTGCTCTGAGCGTTCCCTGCCTCATTTTTGAGACTGGAATCTCTGTTCTGCATTGAGACATAAATATTACAATGAATATATATGATCATAGTAGTGATCATATATCAAGTGTGATTGAGAATATGATCCACCAACAATAAAATGTTGCTGTATTTGCCGTTACCTTGTTGTGGTGGGGGCTTCCTCTCGGAGACGGCTGGTCCTGGTCTGTGTTGCTCCCACAGGGGGAACTATGTGAGGGCAGGGGGGCCAGTTTGTACAGCAGGTATCTGTACAGCTGCTCAGTTTCAGGCAGAGTGACCTGCAGCAGGAATCCCTCCACCATCAGCTCCTCCAGCTCAGGACCGAGACCTGTGACAAATATGATGAGCGACGGAGAGTTCAGAGGTGAAGTAAAAAAAACAAAAATGAATAGTATATGTAGATGCAAAGTCTTTAAAGCTTTAACACTGACCATGGAGTGGAACAGAATGGTTCTCCGTTTGAAAAAGGGAACCATTTATTTCCTGAGTCAGATATGAAGATGCTGTGGGTCCAACTCTCCCCTGAAACAATAAACAATCAAATTTATTATGCTTGACAATGATCGATGGGTCTAGCACACAGAGCAATAATCAAGAGACTCCTCTAGTCAATAATATTTACTTAGTCGAGTTATATCGTGTTTCTACTAACCATCTTCGTCACTTCCTCCAGCACTCCCTCCGTGCTGGCCTGCTGGACTCTGTGCTGCCATCGCACCGTCCTCTCGATGAGGAAGCGCAGGGCGTCCCCCTCCGGCAGTCGAACCCGGATCCTCTGCAGTGAAGCTAACAGGGGCAGGACCTTGTCCAGAGGCGGTTTCCTGGACCGCTGGCAAAGCGGGCAAAGCCAGGCTTGGCCGTACTCGAGCTCTGTGTTTGTCGTAACGCAGCCGCAGTGGAAAACTTCTCGACAGAGCTCACACTGCAGCATGGAGCCCGAAGGGGCCTTTTGGCAAACACAAATACTAAGTGCACAACAGTTCTCAGCAGGAAGAAGCTTGGACTCATTTGAAGCACGCAGAGACAACAAAATCTCCATCTCCCTCTGTCGGACCTCAGCGAGAGTGGCCATCTGTGAAGGAAGAACATTGAATTTAACAATCTCACTTTACTGTGACCAACTTTTGTAATTAGAGCTGTTAAAGTATCATCTCAATCTTACAGTTTTACAGTTTTTTGGCAACCCAAATTATACACAAGTAACACAAAATACTACAGCTTCACTCACAGCAGAGGCAGAGTCCTTGCTCTCAGAGAGAGCCCTCTCCACGTCACACAGAGACTCCAGTTTTGTTAAAGCTTTTTTACCGATCTGTGGAGCTTCTTTTGCTTTTTTAGATCTCGACTTCTGATGTCCAGTTCCTACATCACATCTCGGGCAAAGCACCTGAAAACATAAATGTGTTATTTGTCTGTCCTGGAAAACTGCTTTGAAATGAGCACACAGACTGTCATCTGTTTACCTCAAGGAGAGAAAAAGGGGAGTTTTTCAGTAGGAACGTCTTTGCTGCGCTCTCCTTCCAGGTCTGAACGTCACTGACAAGAGCCTCCAGTCGACTCAACGGGTCGAGCCTCACTGGGATGCCCTCTGCTCTGAGAACCAGCTCAGAGAGGCTGTCCAACACAGGAATACGTCCCCCGAGCTGCAAGCATACACACACAAGGTTTATAATCCAAACTCGACCATCTCTGACCAAGTGCTGAGAACATTCGGCAAGGCTTAAGATGATAACTCACCTGGAGTGCTTCGGCTTCATGAAGCCATTTCTTGGCCTTGGTGATGACATCCTTCAGCTGCAGACAGTTGGGCAGATAGGCAGGGATGTTCTCTACTTCCTGCAGAGCAGCATCAAGTGTGTCCATGCTGTGATATGGCCTGTGAAGGGACGTGAGCTTTAATAAATACAGAGCTGGATGATGGAGTGCCAGTTTAGTGTTTCAGTTTTGAATTTTAGTAAATAGACTATTTGTGATTTATATCAACATCAAATAGCACAGGAGATGCTTGCTATACAGTTTATAGTGTGTAGATTGCAAAGCACTGTCACAACACCATGATCCTCTTTATCAAATATGATCCAGCTCTCAACTAGAACAAAACTGTGGTTTCCCTCAGTTCTGATTAGCGTCAGATTTCTTGTTCATTCATAGAAGACAAAAGCTTTTCAGATCTTTCAGAGACTGACGCTCTAGGAGGGGTAGTATGTTTGTACATGTGTAAGGAAGGGTCTCTCACCACTGTAGTTGTAACTTGCAGCTTGTAGTATTGTTTGAAAAGATTATTTTATATAAAAAAGGGTAATAAGTGGAAATTTAACTGGTAAAAATGATTGAACAACTGTAGTAGTATCGAAATCTGTAAATGGATTATACTTAATAACTGAATAGTAGATACAAGCTCTGGAAACTGTGGTTGAAGTTATGGAAATGCAACCTAGTGCAGCTCAGTGTCTTTACCTGGCTTCCATGAGGCTTAGTGCCCGCTCCTCCCACTGCTCCGACACCGTCAGCAGCTCCTGCAGACGGGCCATGGCTCTTTCCACAGAGCTGTGAGGTGCCAAGCCCACACCCTGATCTATCAGCCTCCTCATGGTGTCCAGACAGAGGCTTTCAGGCCGGCTGCTGGCTTGCTGCACAGCCTCCAGCCAGCGGGCCTGCTCCAGTCTCTCCCTCAGCAGGGGCAGCTGAGGCAGCTCCACATCCAGGCCCAGACTCACGTCCAGCAGGTCCTGCAGCTCCAGCGGGCTGGGTGAGTCATCAGAGAGGACACGTTCACTGCGCTGCTGGAAGTCGTCCACCCGGGTCAACAGGTCCTAGGATGTCACATTAAATGGGCATTTAGGGACTGATATTTGATTACTGGGACAAGACTTCATTCAAAAACTGAACCAAAATAAATCACTGACATAAACATTTAGACAGCAAAGTGTTTAAGTGAGAATTAAGTGCTTCAATATGTGCTGAAAGTAACCAATTCAACTTTATTGATATTTAAGGAAACAAATTGTACCATGGACTTATAAAGAAGTTAATGCATTATAAAAGATTACCAACCTTCAGTAAAGGAGCCTGTCGGATGTTGCATGGCAGGTTGTCAAACTGTCGGACAAAACACCTTAGCTCCTCCACAGTCAACTCGTTGTGGTTTTGAGACTTTCCCCCTCCAGAACGATACCTAAAATACACACAGAAACTGCTCAACAGATCTCTAAAAACAAGCTCCATTCTGCCATCTTTGGCAAGTTCAGTGGAAATAGTAAATGACACCTACTACATCCTAAAATAAGAAATTATTATTAAGAAAGTCAGTTACAATAATGAAGATAACTACATAC